TTATTTACAGAGCTCTACTGTTGTAATCATGATATTTAAAGTATATTCTTTTAAAAACTAAATTTTTCTAAAATAATTTTATAGTTAATGAATGTCTTAAGGCCTTAATGAATAATAATGTCTTAATAAATAATTAATTATTAATAATGTTATTAATGTTAAGTAATTAATTATTATAATTATTATAATTAATTATAATTAATAATTAATGTTAAATAATTAATTATTATGATTAATTATAATTAATAATTATTGTTAAATAATTAATTATTATAATTATTATAATTAATTGTAATTAGTAATTAATGTTAAATAATTAATTATTATAATTATTATAATTAATTGTAATTAGTAATTAATGTTAAATAATTAATTATTAATTAATAATGTCTTAATAAATAATGTCTTATGTACATTATTTAGGCATGTATTTCATATACTATTAAAAATTGTGCCTCAAGCAATGCCGTATTAGTATTAATTGTACAAATTAATTAATGTAAATGAGCAAACAGTTACCGACCAGGATAGCCTGCTTGGTAGGGCGCTGAAGGAGCTTAACGGGAGGGAGTTTAAATCTAGCAGGCCGAAGACTCCCCGTGTAGTAAATAGTGACTGGTGCACGTTAAATCTGTTGGGTCACAAAGCTCTCCATGTTCCCATAACAAATCAGTACCCCTGGAGGTTACACTGAGGGGTCCACTGAATTAGAGATTGATCGTTCTCTGGTTCAGGTCAAAATTACAATCTGTGGATGAATGAATGGGTCCGCCCTATGAACGGGTGTGACGTATGAGTGTAGCAGAAGACGAATTCTTAGCCATAGACCGCGCCACTAGAAAATAAGGACAATCGCATCCCTACTACCTTTATGGCCGATAACAACAACAGCAAACAGTCGTTACAAAATTTCAAAAAAAAAAATTCAAAATATATTTAACTGAAAAATTAAGAGTAATATTTCTTTTTGTAGTTTTAAATAAATATTATTAAACAGCGTTACTTAAAATACTGAACTGTATCGGTCCTATGAAGATCTAATGCACATACATTACATCGAACGAAATTATACATTTCATTTAAGTTTTTGTTTCACAATTCAATTAAACAAATGGGTGTATAAGTAATGACTTACTGATACTTACTGATATAAATTAAGAAAAATTAAGAAAAATGAATAAACATTAACAAAAAAATGAAAAGCTATTAAGAATATATTCAAATATATATATATTCAAGTAATTCTATAAAAATGCAACTGAGCAGTGTTATGCATTTCGGTCCTATGAAGGGCTTATGCACATACATTACTTATAACGATATCCTACATTTCATTTAAGCATTTTTTTCACAATCCGACTAAGCAAATTGTGTTTTAAATAATGACTTACTGATGCAAATTACTTAAAAATAAGTAACATTAACAACAAAAAAAATGAAAAGCTTTTAAAAATGTATTTAAATTTTAGAAAAATTAAAAAACTATTGAAAATCCTTTTGTAGTCCTATAAAAAAATTATTATTGAACGGTTTTATGTATTTATGTCCAATAATGGTCTCATGTAAATTATTAGTTTCTATTAGAAAATTTTAAGAAAATTGTTTAAAATATATTCCATTATAAAAGCAAACATTGAAATTCATCAATTACTCAATTAAGAAAAATCCTTTTTAAATTTGAATATATTTTCCTATTCATTTCGTCTTTCAAGGAATGTAATTTAATTGCTTTAACCATTTAATTAGAAGTAAAATCTAAGATTAAGAAATGTAAATTAGTTTAATTGCATAAACTTTAAATTTCCCTCTGATATTCTCAAAACTATTAAAAAGGAATGTATAAATATCAAAAAATAATAATTAATACAATTATTCATTAACGAAAATTTTGATGTTTAAATTAAGTGCAGTAGAAGTATATATTCAGTAAAAAATCTAAAATTAATTAAAAATATATGATTAAAATTTGAAGATAATTACGTAAACTCTACAAATACTTTCATAATTACCACAATCATTTTAATTACTCTTTATTATAATTAAACAGCGCGAAGGACTAATCGATACTTTCGCCATCTTTTCACCGAATAGCTGAGTTTTAGAAAATTTAAATTAACACTTTTTTTTGTTTCCATGTCATTAAGTATTGTTTTTAATAAATCTTTGCATATAGATATTATCGCTACCTCGTAAATAAAAAAAAAATAATGATCATATTTCTCACTTTACCTTTTTTGTTCACTTTTTTCATGGAAGAAAATTTTACATTTTAAAGAAGAAATTTCAGCGTTAAGTCAATAACTTCTTCAAATTTCTTAAAAATAAATTTAATAAATGTCACGTTTTAAAACGAAATCCATTTCGGGGATAAGCTTCTTAAATGTTTTCCGACAGATGTTTTATCAATAAATGTACCTCCAAAGTTGTTAATATTTAAGTAAAAGCAATCTATTTTCATTTTTTAATCTCATCAAACTGAAAATAGCATTCACAATAATTTTATAATATTAATTTATTGTGAATATTATTAATATTCACAATAAATTAAATATATATATTTAGTTAAATGTACTTAACTAAATGATTCTTCAAAAGATGAAATACTCCACCCACAAAGTTATGTCTTATAAAGAAAGAAAGAAAGATATTCCTAATTGAAACTCTAGTTAGTTGTCCTTGAGATCTTTATCACGACGATTCTACGGTTTTCATTGAACTTAATTAAGCAAAATGAGACAACGAATTGAAGAACGTACACTGTAAAAATTTCGGGATTAAATACGGTATAAGCTACCTGCACTTTGGGTATGAAATAATATCCATATAACCATAAAATCCATATAACAATAAAATACATTTTACTGTAAAATCCATCTTACCGTAAAATCCATCTTACCGCAAAATCCATTTTTACCGTAAAATTCATTTTCACCGTAAAATATTATACCGTGATTTTTACAGTAATATTTATTAAGTAAGAGGAATTAAGTGATTTCAATATAATTACTACTGTAAAAATTATGGTATACCAGAGTTTTGTTACGTAATATGTTTCTGTTAAAATGGATTTTATGGCAAAAAGCACCAAATTCCTGAAAAGGCGATACTTTTTACCCCGAGTTTAATCCGGAATTTTTTACAGTGTGTGAATGGAAATATAACTCATAAATGCCCTTAAAAAAATTTTTCATCTTTCAAAACGCTTAAAAATTAGTGTTTTGTGCCCACAAATTTTATATTTAGCAAATTATTAGATTTAAAAATTCCTTATAAATGTTTTAAATATTTATGGAATTATTGCAATAACATGCCTTAATAATTTTTATTAGAAAATAGGAAAATTATTTACGAAGAAATTTGAAATTTTCTTTTGACAAAAATTTCGATTTTTGTAACCATATTAAAGCACATATGATATAGTCGAAATTTGTTAACATCGACTTCGGAGAGGAGTTTTTAATTCTTTTTACGTAATGAAAACATATTTTATAGTTAAATATCTAAAAACGACCTCTGAACTATTTTCATGGACGTTAAGAAATATTTGCTTATTTCATATTATTTTGCTCAAAAAAATTACGTAAACAAAAAATCCTTTTAACTTTATTTATAATTCTTTTTTAAATTAATGAAAGCATTTTTTTATTATTAAATATCTAAAAACGACCTCTGAACTACTTTCATGGATGTTAAGAAATATTTGCTTATTTCATATTATTTGGTTTTAAAAAAAATTACGTATACAAAAAATCTTTTTAACTTTATTTATAATTCTTTTTACGTAATGAAACATTTTTCATCATTAAATTTCTAAAAACGACCTCCGAACTATTTTCAAGGACGTTAAGAAATATTTGCTTATTTCCCATTATTTGGTTTAAAAGAAATTACATAAACAAAAAATCCTTTTAACTTTATTTATAATTCTTTTTACGTAATGAAAGCATTTTTTATTATTAAATGTCTAAAAACGACCTCTGAACTATTTTCATGGACGTTAAGAAATATTTGCTTATTTCATATAATTTGGTTTATAAAAAAATTGCGTACACAAAAAATCCTTAAAAATAAGTTTTCTTCTTCTGAAAGACGTAAACACTCGAGAACTCAAAAATGAGCCACAAATTTGGGAATATTAAATATTAATTTGGGAATTAATTTATTTCAAAAGAAACTTTACAAACATTGTATAAACTTGTGGAATGATTGAAATTACTGAAACCACGACTATTTTACTTAATTTATTTGTAAGTTAATTTTGAAAACTTTAAGCTGCTTTTTAAAACTAACCATACGGATTTTATGACAACATTGAACAACACTTAAAATGTCGATGTTTGTTAACGTATTTTCAATAAGAAGTTTGTATTTATTTATATCCGAAATAAAAATATTATTCTATTGCTAAATATGAACAAAACGCGCTCTAAATTTAGAAAATATTAATTTATTTCATGCAATCTAAAGAAAAAAAAGGATATCGCTTTTGAGTTTTTGAAAGGAAAATCTTCCCTTAATTAGAAATAATTCTTTTCAGATCTTTTAAAATATACGCTCAGAAGCGAAGAAGTATATAAAATTAAGAAAGATCTGTATGAATCTATCTTGTAGAGAAAAATCTCTATGAATGATTTTTAACCGAAGTCTCTTTCTCATTGTGTTCTTATTTAAATGAAAAGAAAAAAAGAAAGCTGGAACTCTCAACTTCTTTTTGTACTCTCCTCGTTAAACGCTCAAGTTTTTGCATATAAAAAAGGAGAAAAGAAAACGAAGAAGAAAACGAAACAGAAACAAAACTAACTTTTTCATCTGTTGTTGGCGACAGGAAGGTAGCGCCAAACAGAGCACAAACGCCTGTAAATCTGGCCAACCCGTAATGCAAAGCTTCGCCCCTTGATGAGCTGTCGGGGGAGGATATGGGTGAGGGTAGGAAGAGAGAGAGATGGAGAGGGGGGGAGCAAAACGAAAAGCGAGGGAGAAGACATAATTAGAGAGGCAGAACGCGCAGACGATAGTCCGGCAAGCACACGTAAACTCTTGCAACTGCGTCTTGAAGACCTAGCTCATCTGGAAACTGACAGAAGGTGCGAGGAAAAAGTTTCGTTTGGACGAAGAACGAAGGAACAACAGGTGAGAAAAGTTTTCTTCTTATTCGATATCGTTCGAATAACGGCGCCAATCGGAAATGAATCGACGAGGCGCGCGCCTATCACGTGGTAGAGTTCAGAGAAAGTCAATCGAAGCGCGCGCGCTGTTCAATCGGAAATGATTCGATTCGCTCGAGCGCATGTTCCACAACTTTTCTACCGGCCGCTTTCGGTTTCTGATCAGCCAGTTTTCGCTTTGCAGTTTGAAAGAATATTTATTTTGAATCATTGCTTATTTTCTAGAATAATTAATTTATTTCGATGCTATTGGCTCTATGATTGTGTTTAAATGCTATTGTCATTCTCTATAAATGTAATATACAAAGAAAATAGTCCTCTAAACATTTTTAGTGGGTAAAAGAATTCTGCGAAATTAGTCTAATGGAGATTCAGATATCTATGGCTTTCATCAGCTCAAAATAAATGAAATTCTATCTATATTTACCAGTAAATTATTTATTAATCCCTTTTATACCGGTATTTACTAGTAATACTTATTTACAATCCCTTCTTTATATTATTATCTGTAATTATGTTTCTAATTTAGTCCAATTAGTGAAAATAGTTCTCTAAGCAATTCAAAGCATTTTTATTGGGCAAAAGAATGCTGCGAAATTAGACTAATGGAGATTCAGATATCTATGGCTTTCATCAGCACAAAATTAATAAAATTCTATCGATATTTACCTGTAAATTATTTATTAATCCCTTTTATAACGGTATTTACCAGTAATATTTATTTGCAATCCCTTCTTTATATTATTATCTGTAATTATGTTTCTAATTTAGTCCTCTAAGTGAAATTAGTGAAAATAGTTCTCTAAGCAATTCAACGCATTTTTATTGGGCAAAAGAATCCTGCGAAATTAGACTAATGGAGATTCAGATATCTATGGCTTTCATCAGCACAAAATAAATAAAATTCTATCGATATTTACCTGTAAATTATTTATTAATTCCTTTTATAATGGTATTTACCAGTAATATTTATTCACAATTCCTTCTTTTTATTATTATCGGTAATTATGTTTCTGATTTTGTGTATTATTCATAATTATAGGTGTAAATTATTCCTGTATAGGTGTAAATTAGTGTTATTCCTTTATTATAACTATTATAAAACAATCTCATGATATTTCCCTTCTACAAAAGATTTTATGATTCAGATGTATTTTACAATTATTAAACGATTAATGAGCTTTATCTGTTTTTCATAAGTCTTATTAATTTTATAATAGTTTTTATGTGTATCTGTATTCAGTAAAAGTGTACGATTAAAGTAATGAATAAAAAAAAATAATTTAAACTTCTAAAGCAATACTAAGAATTAATTTATCGCACTATTGCTCTTTTTTTCTTTTTTTTTCTTTTTTTTTTTTTTAAATAAACAAAATTAAAATAAGATTTATTTAAAAAAAAACAGTTTGTAGATAGAGTTGAAAAGGAAACATAAAACTTTATCTCAATAGAATTGGAAACAAAATTTGTGGAACCTAATCTGTAATATCACAACAAAAATATTTGGAGTTTTGTAATTAATTAATAGTTAATTTTAATGTTACTATCGATTAAGCTCCCAAAACCAGAAATTATGGCGCCATCGTGGGGGCGGTGCGAAGTTAAATGTGAAGTTTATACGTAAAAATGTATACGTATGTTTCTTTGCAATTTGTTTTTTACTAATATAACTACAATTACTAATATAACTGCAATTTGTTACTTATTATATAAACCTGTGCCTTATGCTTTAGAATTGCTCAAAAGCAGGTTAAAATAAATTCAAAATATTGATCAAGATTTTATAATCTGAGAAATTGAGGAGATATTTAACATAGTTTTAAAGCATTTATTTGATATCCTTAAGTCGCAATAATATATTTATCATAATTCTATTTCTTTTCATTTAATTTAGTATCACGTAGAAAATGCTTTTTTTCTCTTCTTTTTTTTTGCGATTTAGAATAAATCTAAGTACAAAATGTCGCTTTTCTACTTGAAAAATAAATTAAACCGTGAAAAAAATATTAATTTCCTTTTATAATCAATTAACAATGAACTTTTTCAGTCCTAGTTATTACTTAATTAAAACATTATCAATTTATATTTTATTTATATTTTATTCGATTTTTAATTTGCTATCACAAAAAGAACTTTTATTCAATCAAAATTCTCATCTAATGTAAACTCTTCAGTAGTATTTAAAATCTCCAATTTCATTTCCAAATGTGCATCAATTTTAGAGTAGATTTCCATAATCATGTACGCTTGGACACTTTTCAATTAAATTAAATATGCATAATTTAGTATTTGATTTTGTGACAGTGTAACTTTAATTTTATCATTTGTTTTATTGTATTTCTAGTTTACTTGTATAATTATTTCCATTATTTTACCTATGCCATTGTATTCTTAGTTTCATCGTATTATCAGTTTCACAAAATTATTAATTTTAGTGCATTATAAAATTTATTTTTTTACTATTGCTTTTTTGCTGTAAAATTGTACATTTCGCAAAATAAATTTAAAAAAACAACTTGATAACTTTTGCTCTAATGAATGGATTATCACATGCCAAGATGCAATCTAAAAGCGCCAATCTGAAATATTCTAATTAATTAACGCAGACGATGTTTTAATTTGCTATAAAGCACGATAAAATTCTTTGAAACATACTTTTTACGGATTGAATTGGATTTCTAGCTATTAAACCTCGCAATCTAGAAAATATGGCTCCCATAGTTTGATCAAGAGAACTGTCTAAATTTTGACCTTTAATGTTTATTTTACTTTTTGCGTATTTCGCTATATCTCTAGTCCCTTTAAGCGAATTACACACTTGTTTCATACAATTGTAAATTATATTTAATCAAAGATTATTATTTGTAATTCTTATTATTTAATTTAATATTAGTTGGAAAATTTTTGAAGCACAGGGTAAAGAATTTTTTATACCTTATTCATCTTCGTAATGTGATTTTAAATGACAAAATAAACTCAGTTTGTCATTTCAGTGTACATATTCTCGAAAATGTAAGTATTAAAAATAAAAACGTTTTGTGTCTGATATCTTAACTTTGCTGGCATAAATTAATAATCACATTTCATATTAGCCTTTTGAACCATAAAAATTGGCCTCGCATTAATCCGAACACTAGATTTAAAAAAAAAGCTACTAAAGTTTTCAATTATTTACTCTGCGAACTATTCGTTAATAATTTTTTATGACTTTTTTCATCACTTTTGTGATTTACAGTGATGAAGCTCGTGTTAGAACAACAAAATCAGAATTAAATGTTTTATTAAATTATTCTATCCATGTTTAGAAAAGTTGGACAGAGTTTACTGTATTAATACTGAGTACAATATGCAACTTTGATTGCAAGATTATGTAACGGTTTGTAAACGTTATGAGTAAATACTTCACAATAACGCATCTAAAAATTTTAAAGACATAATTTTGACGCATCTTAACATCATTTTGGAAAATAACGAAGTTGTTAACTTATCTGTGAAGAAGCAGCTAAATTATCTTATGAATCAGAATCCCTCATTTTAAAAAATACAAAAATTTTTTTTTTTTCTTTAACTTTTTAAGGGGATAGGAAACATTGAAAGAATTTGAAAAATAGTTATACAGTCGAACCCCGTTATAGTGAACATGGTTTATAGTGAACTCCTGGATATAGTGAACGAAGAGTAGACGAAGAGTAATAAAAAATAAAAGTTAGCACATTTTTTGCTACTACATATTATTTTTCAGTCATTTTTGTATTTCATTTTATGGGTCATTTATTTAAATAATGTGTAACAAAAAGGAGCAGATCGGAAAAAGGTTAGTTAAAATTGTTTATAGCACGGATATAGTGAACTCCCGGTTATAGTGAACCGAAATTTCAATCCTTTGAATGTTCACAATACCGGGGTTTGACTGTATCTAAAAAGTACAAAAAAAAAAATTATGTTCGCCATTTGATACAGATAACAATTATTTTTTATTAATGCTTTCAAAGGTTTTTAGTATTATAGAAATTTCTATTTCTTTCTTTCATTCTGAGCCTCGCATCTTATTTTTACATTAATTTTTCCTAAAAGTTCATTATAAACTTACTATAATGATTTAAAAGATTGTTAATGTTTTTTTTTTAAATCAAGCATTGTTTGTTATATTCTTCTTAATAAAAATTTATCATTATGTTGATTTGTATTTCAACTATGCATCTGTGAACTGAGGAAAATGTATGGTCAAAACTACCTAAATATGATAAAAATGTACCATGCTTCTGGTTCTATGGGAACAACAAAATATCGGTAATATTTACCGAAGCACTTTGGTAATAATTTTGGTAAAATTAACAATAAAATATGATTTTATTATTTGTTTGAAAATTTGGCAAATGTGGTATAATTTGGTAGCTTTATCATGATCCTTTAGAGCAGTGTTTCCGAAACTTATGGCTTTTGTGTACCCTTTCTAAATTTTTCGTAACGCTGTGTACCACTAATAAAAAAAATTGCACAAAAGTTAAAAATCACAACTGGCTGTTGACATCACTAATTATTAACTGTTAACTCTGCAAAAAATAGCCAATAGAAAAATACGTAATCGTAAATTTTCATGGTTAGCTTTGTTTTTAAATAAAAAATTTTGAAGTTTTCGTTTGTTTCAAAATATTTCGTATAAGAACGCGTACCCCCACTAAACTGTTCCCGTACCCCTGGGGGTACGCGTATCACACTTTGGGAAACACTGCCTTAGAGCATGACATAAAAACCATTTATTCGATTGAATTTACTTTTCAGTTTTGCATTTTTCACTAAATATGTGGTTATAAGAATAGTAACTTTTGAAATCAGAATTTTCAGCTAACTTTTAACACACGAACGGAAAAACTACTAAATGAATGGTTAAAATATAGTATATTTTGGGTTTTCTACAGGTTTTTTACTGTTACGCTAATTTTGCGGTAACCATATAGTACTGTA